GTTATTTAAAATAAACATGTGGTGTATCACTTAATAAAGCAAAACTCTACTCTGTAACTTTTTTTCATCATCCCTTTAGCTGCTTTTCTCTGAACCATCTCTCCTTTGTAGAGGGTTATGTGGAAGTGACCAAGGAAATACATGCAACATAGGCATGGAGATGCTGGGCAGAGCGAAAGGGTGATGGCTCGACTTTTGCATTTCTTATTTTTGAGAATATAGTATTTTTTAACTTTATGGTAACACATTTTCATTTTGTGGTCCCTGATGATGTCTATGCCAGCCCTTAATTAGGCTTACCCTAGGCCTTATCCATGCTGGCTTTGGTACTTAAGCGTAAGAACTTCATTACACCTATTCCTACGAAACCTCATCTAAGTTTTAAGTTTTGAATTCTCGTATGTTTTCTGAAGCATCAGGAGAGCCGCTCAGTTGGGGCTGTACACAGTCTGAAAATACAACCCTTCTGTTTTCCAAACCACTGAAAACGATGGTTGACACCCACGTGGGACACAGAATCCTACCAGGGCTGCTGCCAGCCCATAGCACAGCTTCCTGAAAACTGGAAAAAGGTGCCCCTTCCTAAGGGCAGGTGCAACGTGGAGTGGAGAGCAAGGGCAGGCTGGGTGTCAGACCCCAGTCACTCTACCACTGCGCCCCATTGTGCAAAGATGACCTGTCCTTAATCAGGTTACAAAGACCCCTTTAATCTTGGGCTACGTGTGCATGAGCTGGGGTCTAGTTTGAGCCTGCTGTTGGGTATATCATATAAGATGAAGGCCAAATATTCAGGAAAACTGAGAAACAGCTAAGTAAACATTTAAATGCAGAAGAAAACGTCAGAGTCAAATAAACCTGAATTTATGGCAATAGTATTCTGTAATTGAAAGTTCTGGAGTTGGACAGAAATGGATTTTAGTTGTAGCTTGGCCACTTAGTAGGTCACCTCACTGAAACTCCATTTTTTAACCTGCAAAATAATGGTGCTATCCTATTTTATACAATCTAGACTACATCAGCTGTATGACTCATCCTCATTACAGAGGTTTTAGAAATATGAATAAATAGCCAAGTGGGATGGGCAAGTGTATCTTGATTTGTGGTGTTAAGACTGTAAAAATTGTGTAGCTTAGATTATATGACATATGGTAATACCCCCCCCCCCCATAGGTAACAGCCCTTCTCTGTGAGGATTAAATGAGATAACATACATCAAGTTCTTGGCACAGCATAGTCAGTGCTCAGTACATGGTGAGGTTGTTGATGTGGTTGTTACTTGGAGCTGGTGACAAATAGGAACAAAAGAATATAATTGACTCTAGCAAAATGACCCAGATGTCATCTCTCCCCTCCTCCAGGATGAGATACTAGAAGCCAACATGTGCACGCAGACCTAGCAGTAAACCTCAAAGGAAGATTAGAGAAAATGCACAAAACTGAAAAATCGTCCTATTTATTCTGGATGGAGACCCAGATCTGATTTTCTCAAATCCCAAATGTATGAGAGAAACAGTGTTAACAAAAGTTATTGTTCAGATGGTGGGTTGGGGTCCGTCTTTGAATTTGGGATAGGAGAATAAAAACTTTCTGAATGCTTTGTTAGCTTTTCTAGTGTTTCTTTTTTTCTGCACCTCTCACTAACGGTTACTTCTATGACATTTCCTATGATTTTTGAATTGATCATGGATTGGCTCACTCGTGAAAACCCTTCTGTGCAGCATCCTGTGATGTTAGTTTTCATTTAGGCCTGGAAGGGTCTATGGAGGATGAAGAGGGGCCAAGAGGTGTCAGTCAAACCCTTTCACCTGCCTCCAAAGCAGCTGGTTCCTGGACGGGTCCAGGAGCGGGCCTTATGCCAAGGAACAGACAGTCATTGTCCTTTGTTGCCAAAGATAAGGCTGCCAGGGGCAGAACACTGATGTAGAGCAACGAATGCCAGGATTCTAATAAGTGAAAATGACCTGGTTTATGCCACTGCCTCCAAAGCAGTCTATTGCTTTTCCCACGGTTTGGGCTCTATGGCTTTTTTAGAGATATGATGCAGTCAGGGTGTATATGAACATATTCGAAACACAGCCCATATGATGAAAAGCGGCCTAAATACTCTTACGTATGGGACAGGTAAATACAACGAAAATGGCTCACCTATGGAAACAGAGATTCTATTATTTCTTTTTTTAAGGGAGACCCTAAGTTGGTAATTCCTTCCATTTCTGTGATGTTAACTTGTTTCAACATCAGGATTGATAGAAATGATGTACAGAGAAGGACAAAAAAGAAGTTCGTGGCAAGAGTTTATCTACCTAGTTTGGGTTGTCTTGTTATAAGGAAAGGAAATAATATGAAAGTTTTAGATTTACTGACTATGCCATGTAAACACTGATATTATGTGGTCACTACTGAATTGAGGCTTCTGGGGATTTTTGAGAAGGAAACTCAAATGGCAGCTCTAGATCACAATGTCAGAGAAAAACCGAATGACCTGAGGAGACAGCGGCAACCTAAACTTTAAACATGTGGGCTGGCTGCTGTGTAGCTCACACATGCAGCTTTCATTTCCTTTCTGCAGGCCAGTTTCAGGTACACTCCACAGCATCTCATGTCTGCCTTGGGTTCCGGGGGCAGGATATGGCACAGTTTGGGAGCCAAACTGAGTCATCCTCCCATGAATACAATGGTACGTCTGTGCCATGCTCCCACCTCCAGACTCTTAGATTCACCAAAGGACTCATTGGGGACTGACAATTCCACTTGATTTAATTTCTCCCTAGGAAGAAATTAAAGATTTATGATTCAGTCATGTCATAAATTCCGTTTCCTTCAAGGTTGCCTTGGAAATTTTAAATATGTATACGAGTTCCACCTTATAGTTCCTTAATCTTTACCTGAGATGCAGTGATGGTGGGCTAGCACCAAGAGGGGCTTGTTCAGCACTGGGGTTGAGTCTCACTGACCCACACACCTGGACCCCTTTGGGTCAAGATCACATTTGAAAGATGAGTGGCTAGAAGATGGGGCTTGGGGCAGCCACCAACTTACCTAAGCTCAAGAATGTGACAAACTGGATCCATTGGCATGTGTTTTTGCACCACAATGATGGAGAATTTAGAATTCTTTGTGACCACAACCCAACGTACTCAGAGTGAAAGGCTAAGTATATTAGCATAGGCCATTGGTGCCTTCCATCAGAAAGCAGTAAATTAGTGTCGGGACAGTTTTATTTTGGTTTAGACAGTTAAATACTTTTCAAGAGCAAAACCTTCTATTACTTTTTGTGGAGAAGCAACTTATAAAAGGTCTTTCCCTCTTTTCTCCCAGGAATGAAACAGACCATTGGGCCCTTTGAGCCAGGTGAGGTTGAGAAGTTGGCCCCAGCTCTCCTGAAGACTGCTTTGTCTTCCCTCCATTCCTCCCTCTCTCCCTTTCTTCCAGGCCACCGAGCCAGGCGGGCCAGCACAGCTCTGCTGCTGGGGCTGGGCTGCTCCTCAGCTGGGCGCTGCTTTCCTGCCTGGAGCCCTGGCACGTTGATGGGATGTAGGGCTAGACTTAATTTCCTTATTGTTCTAGGTCACCGATCCCTTTGAGAATCAGGTCAACTATGACTATTATCTCCAGATAAATGCACACACTCCTAACCCCCAATTCTTTTCATGCAGTTTCAGGGGGCTTGAGGATCCAGGCCAAGAAAAGAGTTTTACATAGGGCTTTAAGAGAAACCAATTATATTAAAATAGTTATGAAACATTTAAAACATTTTGTGATATAGAAATATCTGTGTGCTTTTATATAAATGTATTAAACAATCAGATCGAATGGTGAGTCTCATAGCTGCTGTAATTTTGAACTATTGGTAAGTATCAAAGGCATCTTAGGATGTCTGCCAACCAAGCTGGGAAATGAAAATGTCTGTGACTTCCACTGGCGACAGGTGCTGCTAGTTCTGCTGTGGTCCGCTGCCTACGCTCATCACGGAAGGCAATGCTAAACTGTAGGGGGAGGGTAGTGAAAGTAAAGGTGCAGTTTGCCCCCATCCCAGATCCTGGACTTCTGGTTCAGAATCTCAAAGACTCTCGGGATTCTCAGTCTGGTGCTGGGAATGGCTCGGGGCCTGCTGCCTCAGCTCTTTCCATTCAGGCCAATGAAGGGAACACAGGGCACCTGTTTCCTCAACGGCAACGACCTGAGGCTATCATGATTTTCAATATTCTGTAGAAAAACCCAAAAGGGACATTCAGAGTGGCTTTTGCTCATGAAGTGAAGAAGGTGGGGACAGAGGGACTTAAGGAGTCACCTGTGAACAGGTAGGTAACTTCTGCCTTCCCTGCCTCAGTGCCAAAGGCACAGGGACCCCCTCTGCAAAGCTGCACCAGCCTGGGAGATGGAGCTCCGTGTGTCTTCTGGCTTGGAATGCAAGACGCATTTTCCTCTCACTTTAACGAAGATATGAGGCATGCTTTTGTCGCGTTTGCCTCTTGCTAACTTAACCTCACTTTTTCCAGGGATGCTCACCTAGGTGGAGGGGCCCCCCTCAGCAGCCTGTCCCCTGAGAAGATGGCCCAGTGGCTCATTTTTGCTTCCCATCCTCCCACTGGCTTCTTGAACGGCACTAAAAAATGTGCTCCAAATGCTAAGTATAAGATTTGGGAGGTGTAAAAGTGTTTCACAGCACTTGAAAATATGAAATGTCACTGTAATCGTGTGGTTATGACCAGCTGAGCCATTGCTGAAAAACACCAGGGAAAAGCAAAACTTTCTCATTGTGATGCTAGAGCTCAGGCCTGCATGAGGATGAAAAGGTCAAGTTCTAGAGAAAAGAAATTGCTTTTCCTGATGGATGAGGGTAGGGATGACAAACTTCCAAGGAGAGGCACTCTCAAAGCAGCTTCCTTGGCAGGGCTCTCCAGAAACTAAACTCCATGGCTATTTGGAGGCACATCATGGCCTGATTTTCACCAGGACAATGGTCTGTGAAATAAGCTTACAGAATATCAGCTGCTTACCGATTCTACTTCTTGCTTCATTAATAGTTTCTCCCAGGGCCTTTGCTTCAGAAAATCTGAGAGAGAAAAAAAAAATGAGAGTTTAACATTTTCTCTTCATCCTAAATTATGTTTTAAAAAATAACAGATTTCTAAGAGGTCTCTAAAATATTATAAAACTTTATTAGAGGATATAAAAAAATCTAAATAAATGAAATATATTAGGCTTAAAAATAAGAGATTAATTTTGTATTAATTACTGGTATCTTGAATTTTGACTCCTCTACCCAGCAGAGAATTTTCATTTTAATATTCATTAATTTATGACTTTCAATTCTAGTGTCTTATGATGCAAAGATACCAGAATACAGCATGGCTATGAGCTTTCTGTACTATGTGTGCTCTGTTAATCGTAGTATCAGGGTCTTAGAGTCAAAGACTACATTTTTATTATAACTTAAATAACTTGTTTTCTCTGATTATAAAGTCAGATGTCAGATGTCAGATGTCAGCAAACTATGAGTGGTCATGAGACAAACCCAGCCCACCACTTGTTTCTGTAAATCAAGTTGTACCGGCGCACAGCCACACCCGTCATTTACATCTCGCCTCTGCTCGCTTTCCTGCTACAATGGCGCAGTTGGGTAGGTGTGACAGACAAGGGATGGCCTGCAAAGCTGAACGTATTTTCTATCTGGCCCCTTACAGAAAAAGTTTGCAGACTCCTGTTATACATGATGTTAAACCACATTTTGAAAATGTAAAAACAAGAAAAAAAAAGAAAACAACTTTAATAAGCCCCCACCCAGAAATAAGCACATTTTGACATCTACCCAGTCCTTTTTCTAGCCAGTTTTTATAGAGTGAAGATTGTATCATATATAGATTTTGTGCTTTGATTTTTCCCCCCCACTTAGCATTATAACATCAATCCTTCCCCATGTCATTAGAAACTTCTCCATTATTATTATTTTTTTTTTTAGCTGAGCCATCCTGCCACCTGTCAGCAGCTCAGCGGCAACTCAGCTTGGGCTGGACTCGAACCGCTGTTGCTCAGAGCTCAAATCCTTGAGTGAGCTCTTAACCAACTGAGCCACTCGGCCGGCCCTACTTCTCCATTATCTTTGATGGCTGCCTACTAGTCCGGTAGATGGTTGTGCTGATGTTTACTTAACGATTCCTCCATGTTTCCCAACAAATACGTGTGAGACATCCAGGCAGAACCAACCTTGTGCTGGAGAAGTATATATAAGAAACATGCAGTCCATGGCCTTATGAAATGATAGTTGCTTTCTTGTCTTCTTTCTGCCATGAAATTTAAGAGGCAACTGAAAATCTATGAAACAAATACATACTATGTGGCTACTCATTGTGCTACGTGCCTAACACTGGCCAGGCCATTAGCATGACTAGGGAGGGGCCTATCCATGAGAGGGGAGGGGTCAGGACAGCATCACGTACAAGGTAGGACTGACCTGGGATTTAGAGTGTATAGGACATTTTAGAAAAAAATTTTATTATGGAAATTTCCAAATACATATACACAAAATAGAGAGAAGAACAGAATGAACCCTCCCATACCCATCATCATATTTCATTAATTGTCAACATTTGGCCAATTTGATTTTTCACTATCTCCTCTCTCCCCATCCTCTCCCCACTTCCCCAATGTTTCTGGATTTCAGTAAAACCCAGATAAATGGTTTCATCCGTAAATGCTTTAGTTGCATAGGATTTTGTTAGAGGAAGTGGGGAGAGGAGGGCATTCCAGGCAGGGAAATGACAGGCCATGACTGCTCTGTGCTTGGTGAAAAGGAGCGTGAGTTATGTCACTGCTATTTTCCGAGTCTGTCTCCCTGGCCTGTGGCTGCAGGCAGGAAGTTTTCAGGGAAGGAGATGAAATTTTCTCTCAAGGTTAGGTTTCTGGGGACTCCACCCCAGCTTCCTCATTAAGGGTGTTCATTATAGGTTAAGCATGTCCTCTCTTCAGCTAGGGCCTGTCACCTTCCGGAGAGAAGTGCAGCTCCATGTGATGCCATTCAGATGGAATTCGGTTCAGCAGACATTCCTATAACGTTGAGGTCCCTGTGCTGGGCTCCGTGGGGTCACACTGGCCTTTGCTGGGCAGCCGTCACCTGAAGTTTGGTCCAGGCCACTCAGAAGATGAGGTCTATCCTCATACTTGAAGCTCTGCATACGGGGGGACGGGAACTATTTGATGGCCGCCATGTCCCTCTCCGTACTTAGGATTTCGTAGCATTTGATCGTCCTTCATTGCTCCATGAATGATTCCTCTGACTGCTAGTTCTGTAGAGTTCTGGAAGATTTAGACTCTTTGGAATAAGGAAAATAAAAGAGCATCTCTGCAAGGCTGCTGAAATTCATGTCAGTGCCGGAGGAAAGCAGAGCAGAGACAGAAAAAGGAAGATACCACAGGCAGAACGGGCAATCCCCACAGCAGCCCTGACAGGCCTGGGATAAAGCTCCCTCACCCCTGCACCCCCCACCACCTTGGCAGTGCCCAGAGGCGTCCAGACGCCGTGGCAGGGGGAGCTGCCCAGTGCTGTGGTCAGCGCTCTCCGAAGAGCCACCCTGCAGCGGGACTGGCAGACAGTTGAGCTGTTCCAGTGCCTTCTCTGCAGCCCCGGTGCCAAGCTTAAAAGGGCTTATCCATTGAAGAGGTGTGGGCTGAGGGCTGACCCGTCTTCATGAGACCATTTTCCCTTCACTCTGCAGTTGTCATCACTCCAGGCCACCCCACCCACATGTGTTCTTGATCCCTGGCTGTCAAGACAAACTCTTTCCTAAGGAAGCCCAGCCCTGAGAGACAAGAGTGGGTGGTGTGACGGGAGCCGGGAGAGACGAGAAGGAAAAGCAGGGGACACCAAAAAGCTGAGAAAGGAGGGGAGCCCCCAGTTCTGCCGCTTTCTTCGTTGCCCACCCTGCATGCCTCACTAGCGGGTCTCCCTTGGTCCCCCTCCGTCTCCTTCCTCCCGCCTCAGTCTAAGTCCTACTCATCCAGGGTAGTCTCCGACCCCTGACCTTCTGGAAGAGGCACGGTCTCATTCATGATGTAGCTCTAGTGTGTGACTAAGGCAGTGAACCTGCGCTGACGGTCCCCAGGGCACGCTGCACCCTGGACAATATCCTAAGCTGAGGCTCTGGTGAAGAGGCGTGGCCTATGGAGGAGGCCCCTGAGGAGGGCCAGGCAAGAAGGCTCTGTGACTCAACCAGAACCATCTGTGAACCCCCAGAGTCTGTCACTGCTGGTGCCAAAGTGTTCCTACCAGGGCGTCGCTGGCTGTGTGGCTCACACTGGAGGGTTGCTGGGTGCAGATCCAGGCTGGCGGGCACAGAACATCTGTGCCATGGGGCAAGGCCTGGGTTGCAAGCGGGGAGGAGTGCGGTGGCCTGGCTGGTCTTCACACCTGCCTTCCTGAGATATCCAGCCTCCACGGATCCAGCTGCACCCACTGTGCGCCCGGCGCTCTGCTGACGACCACTGTCTCCAGGATGACCTCATTCTCCTTCATCGGCTCCCACATCGCATCGCCTGGCCTCCTGTGTTTTACTCCTCTCTCTCTCTTTGGCTGCTCCTTTGCAGTCTCCTTGGCAGGGTCTCCTGCAGGCTGTTCCTTAGATGTTGGTGAGCATGAGGGTTTTGTCCTAGCCCTGGCTTCACGTTGCGATTCTCTCTGGGCATTTTCCATGCCAGTGCTTTCCTTTGTGATTTCTGCTGACACCTCCCAAATCTCCACCTCAACCCTGGTTATTTCCTGACTGTATCCAGCTGCCTACCGGATGTCCTGCAGATACCTAACATTCACTGTCTCCAAAGCAGAACCGATTACCTTCCCTGAAATCCTGCCCCCTTTCTCCCATCTTTCCTCATGTCATCACAGAGCACCAGCACTCACCCAGTAACCCGCTCACCATCCTTTGCCCCACCTCCCTTAGCTCCTTCACTTAGTCGTGGAGTCTCGTCCATGCTACACCCTCAGTATCTATCCTCAGAATCCGCTTCACTAGATTCCTACTTGGCCTTAGAGAAGAAGCTGTCACCTCTTTCCCAGGTTACTCCAATGGCGGCTTGGCTCCCTGCATTCATGCTACCTCCTTCAGGCTACTGCCCACATTTTAGTGGGGGAGGGGAGGCTTTCTTCAATACAAACTTGATCTTGTTATTCTCCTGCTTAAAGCCCTTTAAGGGCTCCCTGGTGACATCAGGACAAAGTCAAAATTCCTTGACCTGGCTAACTAGATTTCTCAAACGCCGGCCCCTGCTGATTTCTCCAGGCTCTTCTCTGGCACGCCTCTGCCTTTCCAGGCTGAACTGCCTTCAGTCCTGTCAAGTGTCACTGCCACACTCTCACCTTGGGGCCATTCCCTTTGCTTGGAACCTCTCTCTTTATCTGGCTAGCTGCTACCTACATCCCTCAGTATCAGCTGCGATGTCTCTCCCTCTGGACAACTTTCTAGGACCATGCAAGTCGGCCATAGGTGTCGCCCCCATGGGTTCCACAGCACTGTGAACTTCTGCCATCACAGGCAGAAGCACACTGTACTGGGGTTGCCTGTTTCCTTGTTTGTTTCCCTTTCGATATCTTAAGTGCCGTGAGGATAGTGACCACATCTGTTTAATTCACTCTTCTATTCCTGGAGCTTAGAACAGGGGCTTGTACTGTGTAAGCATTGCATAAGCTCTGTAGACGAAAGGAAGCGACACGTGAGCGAGCACGTGCACACAGGCAGAGCGTGCAGTGTGGAGAGCACTGGACTGGGAGTCAGAGACCTGGGTTCTAACGCCCACTCCACCTCTTCACAGTTGGGTGTCAGACTCCTCATTTCTGAGATTAGGATGAGACACCTCTGAGGGCTGGGTTGATGTGGAAAATTCCTATGGGTAAGTGTGCTTTGGGACGGTGAAGCATGGCCGCTGCCTGGCGGTGTCGGCGCCCCGGGGGCGTGGGACAAGCTGTGAAGTGGGACGGCATGTTGGAAACAGTAACCACAGACAATAGTGGATACGCATTATCCTGTCAGCAAACCAAAGGGCAAGTCCACGGCCAAGGCCACC